GCTTGTTTTACAACGTCGTTGCCAAGCGACGAAAACCCAACCCCGATGGCAAAACAGCAGCGTGGGACAACGACAAAGTTCCCGACCCACCTTATACAATTACCCATGCGTGTATGCATGCCCCTTCGAGAAATCACCCGCGGTGCGTTTCACCTATTCAGGACTTGTTCGGCAAATGCACAGAGTTCTCCGCTATCCCCCTTAACGTTTCCGTCAAAAGAGGGCCTCCCTCCCCCTACCACGACCTGCCTCATCGGCAGCACCCCTTACACGTCAAAGCTTGTTGTCTACAGTACGGCAGCCGCCCGGTGATAGATGGGCGCACACGCACAAGCGTGCGCGCACCATACGAGTAGGTTCGTGCATACTGACTGCACTGAGTGAAGTTTGGGTGGTATAACCTGATGTTCGACATCTCCTACCCCCCTCAGACCCCTCGGACCGTTCCGAGGACCGTGCTTTTGACACGCCAAAACTGATTTGTTTTTCTGTTGGTGAGTTGGTAAGTTGGTGTTTTTGCGGGATGGCTGCTGCTAGCATCATGGTGCAGAGACCCACACATCGTCTCAAGCCTCTGCTCCTGCGCTTTGACCCTTTCCTCCGCCGATCCATCCTCTGCTTGGAAGTTTTTAGTGAACGGCTATGGACGTGTTTCGTGAAGTAATCGTGATGCCCACGGTTTATGTGTCTGGTTCAGCATTGCCTTTTTTTGTGCTCCTTCGCAACTTTACGCATCAATAAATGAGAAAACAACCAAGAATGACGGGTCGTGTCAGCATTGATTTGTTCCCTCCCTCCCTCTCGCAACCATGCTTGCCAAAAATGAACCACATGTGGATGTATTTTAGAGTCGCCACGGTGTGAAGCCCGAGAAGCTGATGGAGGGCGTGTGTATCCAGAACGCCAAGACCCTTGACGACCAGATGATGATCATCGTGAGTGGCGAGTTAGCAGAGACAAGTATTTTATTTCACCTTGAGCTGTATTGCTCATGGTGATTTTGTGTGACAACGTTGTGTTCTGCGACGAGCCGACATCTTTTGGTGTTACTTGTGTTGCAAAAAGTTGTGTGCTGAGACGGGTTGACGTGTCGCTGCTTGTGGTGTTGTGTCAGTTTGTGTTGAAATGTTGCGTCACAAACCAAGCGCGCACGGTGCCCCGCGTGTACCGCGGTTGGTTCCGGGTTTTCGTTGGCTCAGGTTGATGTTGCACCAGCAACATGATCGTGTTTTCGCACCTGCCTTTGGAGCCAGGTTCGGACTACATCTTACCGCCACGCATACGCTGCGGCAGGTGATGGTGATGGATCGCTACGAGCTGTAATATATCAAACGCGCTTGAGGCTGGAGAACGTCCATACACAGAGACAAGTTTTGCTCTCGGCGTATGATGCTTGCACCCCGTACGAGGTCCTCTACACGAGAGACTAGGGAAAGATTCAAATGACCATTTCGGACGAGAAACACGCAGCAGACGCATGAAAGCAGAGACCAGTGCGGGGTAGTTGGTAGTTGCTGTTGCCATTCGCCCCCCTTTTGACCGCTAGTCGAACTGGCACGATAGCAACAAGGTAATTTGCCCATCGCCACCTCTCTCGACCCCGCCCCCCCGGTGTTTGCCATCGGGGTTGGGTTTTCGTCGCTTGGCAACGACGTTGTAGAACAAGCCAATTCACTTCGTGAACTCGGCAACCAGGTTACCGTTTTGTTTTTACCCCTTTTTTTTTTTGGAGGTAACCATAATGGTGGTCGAGTAGATCATGTTGTGCGGGGTGGAGAACCCTCACTCCGCGCAAGGGGGATGATCGCACCACATTGTGTTAAAATGGTCAAGCACCCTCGAGGCAGTTCAACAGTGCTTACAACTGTCTCTAGAAATGCNGCCAATTCACTTCGTGAACTCGGCAACCAGGTTACCGTTTTGTTTTTACCCC